AACTAGTAATTAACAATAAAACAACATAAACAACAGAAGTACAGGATTAGCACAAATGAAATGCACAGAACTACACTGACGGAAGAAAAAGTCCTAAGAACAGAAAACAATTAATGAAGAGTAATGAAATTTCGGCAAGACATTTGTCTAGATAACATATTAAATCGATTGAATTTTTCAAATTTGCGAAATGCAGGGCTTCTGGCTCGGAGCTTTCCTTCAAATAAACAATTTATAGCAATTCGTTCTGTTACTATGGTGCCAACTGCAGTTCGAATTTCTGTTGCAGACGCAGTACGATCCGCAACAGCCGTACGCCGAATACGAAGGTCTTCTCTAGTGCAAAGTAGCCGCCCGGAACTCGGAATTTTTGAGTCAGTACCTTCCCTTATCACTACTGCCAACAATCATTCTCATTGAATATATTCCTTCCAAATCTTTTTGAAATATCGCGTCCACCTTCTGAACGACATATTACACGACATCATTCAAACATATTGAGCTGGAGCTGTTGATAATGGCTTTTTTTTTTTTTTTTTTTTTTGTGTCTTCTTAAAGGCATTCATGACCTATATCAACTCACTACGACAAAGCCCAACGATAAATAACGATCACGATCTTTACAGCGCATATTTAAAGTAAACCAAATTTGCGTGCTGATAACGATGCTACTAGCGCCACACTTATGCGCCTAGCGCGAAATTCGAACAGATACCATTTTTCAAATGCATAAACACGCCTAACAAATTTTATTTATATAGCACAACTCTTTCTTGGTGCTGCGATTTTCTTCCGTCAGTGTATATTGGAGAGGGGGGCAAACATGTAGAATAATTTTAAATAAAATTCAGTGAAACTAAAATTAATTAGAATTTAAATACTTGGATGCCTAGAAACATATGCCGTTCTCTATGCATGTTGGTACAAACGTATTATAAAATATTTATATAAATTACGTTTACAAAATTTTAAACTCCCCTTCTATTATTTTGGAAATAAAATTAGCAGAAATGTTATAATTAAAGTTATCATTTATAACCATAAGATGGTATGTAATATTATATTTCATTGAATATATTTAATAACACTCTGTATTTCAGTGCTTCCCAAACGTTTTACCATTACAGGCAATGGTGAGCTATGGAAACTTTAACAAAGGACTCACAGTTTATCTTATAAAAACATGCCAAAATCAATTTAAATATTTCTCTTAAAAAAGGAAACTGCAAATATAAACTATTGTGAAAAACATTTGCAAATTTTTAAACAATTTCAAATAAAAAAATACCAAATATTGGAAAAACATACACCGTATAATGGGGGTGCTTTTAAAGTGAGATTCAATAACCTCAATGCAAATGTTCAAATTTGTTAGTAATAATTTATTTACTGACATCTTTTATTGGAAAATTAAAAAATGAGGTTTTATCGCGTCAACTTGCTGTTTAAAAATTTATAATTAACAAGAAATTTATTGCCAAAGGATGGTATTTTCTAACATCTGTTTAAATTTTAAGTTATGTTCAATGTACTAAATTAAATTTAAATGAAACTAAGCGAAACTCTGATTTTTAGGGAGAGAAAGACTATCGTAAGTTAAAATATGAAATAAACAAGCCCCAAATAAAAGTGAACAAGGAACCTACAAATTAGAAATTTGACAAATAATTCAAATATAATATAGTTCCAAGCTTGTTAAAGCTTACCTCTGGTAGCAACATGCTTACATACTGCAACTTACAAATTTTATACACACACATAAATATTCTTTATGGAATAATATTACAATATGATGTAAGAAAAAACAATGGCCAAATACTGTGAAGATCACCTCTATACAGTGACCGTCTCTGAAGGTTTTTTGTATTTCTTAGAATATTAACAAGCATCAAGATAATGTAAGAAACTTAATAATAATAATTATGCAAAATATAATAATATTGTAATGAAAGAAACTTTCAATAATTCACGTGACTCAACAATCTCCGATTCTCAATCCACAATTCGGGAATTATTGAAATATAATATAGCATTTATATATTATCTGGTTCTGTATCTCACATTTAGTGCTATATAATCTTCCACATAGTTTATGTAAATAAAATCTAGAACATAATAACTATTTATACAATATGTTGGTCTCGATGTTAGAACTTAATTATAAAAATTTGATGTAAAAGAGCTTAATTAATAACCTAAAAATTCCATGTATATGAATAAGTACGAAATAAATCACTTTCATGTACACGCAATTATAAATATCTACTTATTAAATACCTAATTTAAGAAACTTAAATTTGAATGGAAAAAATAAACAACCGTTCAATACCATTCAAAAAAATTCTGAAATTGCTGAGCATTTCTTGTGTTTACGCCACCAAATGAAATGTTTATAATGCAGTATTTAGCAGTATAAATAATTCTTCTACATATCTTCTCTTAAAATTTCTCTCATTCCAATTAATCAAATATAGCACATAGTTAGCTTTATTTACAAACAGTTTTATCTACTTTAATAATATCTATACAAACAGATATATTTAGTACACAAAATTGTTACTGCTATTCCTGTAGCATTATTAATTTGTAACTAATGTTAGAAGATAATGTTTAAATATTACTTGAACTATATTTGAAATTAGTGCTAAAATAGTGCCCTTACAAAACTCATGATTTGAAAAGCTAAAGCATTAATTGTCTTATAAAAACATTCAACTATTTTCGCAAATTCACACGCATGCAAAAAATACTACATCCAAATCACCTAATTATGCAGTGAAACTTTCTTAAAACAATTAACCACTATTCCATATAATGCCAATATTTTTGGTCGTCTCACAGAAGTGATTTTAAGTACTGTTATTAAATTACATTTCTAACAAAAGTTTTACTGTCGGTGGTCATCTTAAGTTTTATCTTCCCATCTTAAGAAAAAACCTCTATATGTTTCACTTCACTTGATTTTTTTAAGTCCATTATTCTTATTTTTATCTTATACTCCCAAGATTAGCACACTTAATATTACTTAAGCTCTATTAATTAATCACAACTCTTAAAAAAATATGAAAACAAACATTCGAAGTTTCATTCACCAAACTTTGATAATAACGGAAATAAAATGTTCAATTAAATATGTTTTAATAAAACAGCACAATATATTTAATGTGGCAGTATGACACAGTGCCATACTTATACAGAAAATTGGGCCAAAGTGGAAAAGCAATATATGCAGTATAAGCTATTATATGATGATCTAAATTTTCACAGAATACTTTGAGTAATGCAAAGAAATTCCTTGATTTACATATCTTGCTTACCTCATTCAATAACTAATGCACATATTAGTTATTTAAATGTTCACTTAATTAAAAAAACTTACCCTTTTGTTTGGCGAAATATAATTAGAATTTTTTTAAGTCATAGTAAAATATTCTTTCTCTCCAACTACATCAGATTGCAACTAATCAAAAAATTCATAATTGAATTATGCAAGAACTTTTGCAATTTTAAGTAAGGTCTACTCAAATGTATTAGTAAATAATATCCAAATGATAAAATGTGTACATCAAGAAAGCTTTAAAAAGAACATTAAATTATAATTAGGAAAAATGTTTGTAGAGGCATTAGGTATTTTTTGAAAGCAGATGTCATGAAAAATGAGCAACGCCTTCGCCGGGACTCGAACCACGAGCATCTCGAATACGCGCCGAGCGTGTTGACCACTACATAACGAAGGGATGCTAAGAAGGCAGGAGAAATACGTTATACGTTTTCAAAAATACTGAATTGAGCAAAGTCGTACTGTCACCTGTATGGTACCTGTTGTTAACCACAGCTGCAATCTTGCACTCCTTGTCACGACAATTTCATGGACTTGTTCTGATGTTACTGTCAAACAAGTGAGATAAGTTCAGAACAAAACAACAGCGCACATATGCAAATGTAGATATTAATTTATAAAAAATACTTTAAAATGGTATGATTAAACTTGTATTAATCTATGATATCTATGGGCTTCTGCATAACTATGAGACAAATGAATTATGAATAAAATATGCTACGATATGCATAAGATAGCTGTATGTTGCAATATGAATCACAGCGCTATAGGCTGTGCCTAAGGATGATATTAATTAAATATTCTGTGCATTCCAAGGAATACATGAGATTTTTCCTCTTTAGCTGAAAAGTGAAATAATACATGTCAAACATTGACAGTTACATTAGATTTAATAATTGGCAGTATTCAGTCATTGATTTGCTTTCATTTACAGCTGAGTAATCATATTACGCTCAATGTAGGTTTCAGGAGGTGCATAGGAAATTTAGCTCTTGTAAAAAAAAATGTAGTTACCTGCTTTTCAATATAATGCTAAACGTAGTTTAAAACAAACGCCAAAGAATAACTAAATTTCTCATAAGTATACTTTGATACACATTTATCATCAAACATATTTAAATGTGTCTCATGAAGAAATTTCTTCTGTTAAATTTATTCCTGAAATACGCAAAAATGATTTTAATCATTAAGAAGAAGTAAAAAATTAACGATGCTAGAAAATGTTACTCTGGCATAAGTAATAACACTTTAATTAACCTTAGCATTTATCTTATCTGAACTAGAATTTTATCAGTGTTACCAGAGACAAATATTTGTACGTTAAATTCATCCAGAAGCCTTTACATAAAGGTGTGTCTTCCCACAAGTTTGTAGTACCTGTTAGGTTTATTTTGGAGCAGGTAGTAGGAAACATCAGTAATTACCTCGCCAGTATTCGTGGTTCCGACATCCCAAGTTTCAGCCGGACGTGCTTCTAATTACACCGCGAAGACACGCAATAAGCAAGGAAATAATTCCTTACAAAAATTATAATGTTTTATGAATTGTAACCTTTATTTACTTTGGGTAGTTTCTTGTTAAATTGCGCATACGTTACATATACAATAAATCATAAAATCCGCAATACCTTATTGTGAATATCATTTTCTTTCCAAACTAGGTACCAGTGATCCATATGTTAAAGTCACCCTTCTCCCGGACAAGAAGAGGAAATTAGAGACCAAAGTGAAACATCGGACCCTTAATCCTCGATGGAATGAAACTTTTTATTTTGAAGGTAGGTACTGCACATTTGTTGCCAGTAATTCTTATTTGAGCTTTCAAACTAATGCTACCTCTCACAATTTATCACAAAAAATGTATTGTAGATTTTATAAAGTTTATACGAATAATCCAAACATCAGAAAAAGGATTCTAGTATTTGCATTCAGAATCAAGTTTGATGCATGATTATAAAATGGGCTGGCTATGAGGTTTTTTCGTGGTTCTTTGGATGCGTAATGCAAAAATTTATCGATGCTGTTAGAACGTCTTACCAAAATATGATTTGCTATAATCAGGTTCCTGCTTGCAGGCCATTTTAATATAGATAATTAGCTGTAAATGTCTGTAATAATGTAACTAAGAAGTGCTTTAGTGTTTCTCAGAAATACCTTTTTTGAAATTTAATTATTCTTAACAAGAATTCATAATACGAAAATTTAGGAAACAAAATAGTTTTATCAATTACACTTACCGCTTGCAATGATTTGTTAACAGAAGCTCATTTTGTACTAAATGTTGAAATGTCAACCCTTTTGGTGACCGCAGATAACCACTTTTGAAAGTAATTAATATTCCTGATAACATGAAGAAACATCGGCAGAAATATTTATAACGGTATTCTCGAAAAGATCACTCTTTAACCCGAACGAATCCATCAAATATATTTATTCGTGATAATCAGCAACATTTTAATTTCAATATAAATCGCAAATATTTCTAATTGTTACACAAATTTTCGTTTTACTGTGTACTATTTCGTAACTATAGGTGCATCAGAAACCTTAATTTTATGAAAATTGTTTCTAGAGATAACTGAAGCATAACTTTTATCCTACCTTATAGGCTCGTTTGCGTGTTTCTTTGTATTCCTGAACTGTTTATGTAAACGTTTCGGTATTCTAACTGTGCAGACTGATATTACTGGTACTTTAGAGTTACTATACTTAAGATAGTATGATTTCAAGCGGACTGAGAATGAGAAATGGTTGGGCTTCTGTATCGCTAAATCAGTGATTTTCAACCTGTTTTGCTTCATGCACCCCTTCATCTTTGTTAGAAATCTTCTTCTTCCTTTCCTTCAGTGTGTTCATGTGGGAAGCGGAATGGTATTGCACATCCTAGCTGGCGGAAGTGCACAATCCTGGACTTCGGAAGTAAATTTTTATGAACTCAAAATTCTATAGAACAAGCTTAAATAACAATATGTAAGGCAACTTTTCCCTTTTCTTAAGGGATTACGTTGATGTAGAGAAAAATTTCCAACTTTTCTCTACATCAAAGTAATCCCTCCTTTCCGCATGCCTTCGTGGTATAACTAAAAATCGCTCGATGCGTATTTGGAAGGTCTGGAGTTCGAATAACGGCGAGAGAATTGAAGATTTCTTCAGTTTCCTGAGATTGAAAAAATTCTAAAAGACTCCGTAAGTACAGCTCGAACAAAAAGATACAGGGCGATGATTCGTCACTACCAAGATTTAACGACTAAGTCTCGTAATCTGCAGTTGTCCTTAAAACGGGGGAAGTATACAAGGTGTTTTGTCCTTCTCTTTCGCACGCATTTGTGATGTAATTGGAAGCACGCTCGACTAGTAATCCGGAGGTCAGGAGTTACAATCCCGACGAGGAGGAGTCAGGAGTTACGATCCGGCACATTTTTTCACATTCCTACATCAAAGTAATCTAATGACTGCACAGGTCGTAATTTAAGATATAATGAAGTGATAGATTTATTTAGGAATTTCGAGTTGTATTACATTACAAATCGAAACTATAGTAAAGATCTTGTAAAAAAGTATGACAATTCTTTCTGAAATTACTAATCAAAATTTATAAAATAATAATCTTTTACAAAAGGGAGAAATTACATACTGAAGTTTTACCTTCCATACTTTAAAATGATTAATCACTTTCGGAATTTGAGAAAATTAACTACGAAATAAGGTTCTGCGAAACTATCCATTGTGATTAATTCATAGTTTTATTAATGTAACTTTACTAATGTAAGATATCTCAATTTTACTTCACTTTTCTCTTTAACAGACTCAAGTGATCTCATTTGAATGATTACATTATGCAAGTTGATTATCATAATCATTTACAAGACGATCACCTCAAATAAAGACCGAAATCATCTGAAACTTTGTGTCCTCTGCTGTTAATAATACGGTTCTTAAAGAGTGTCCACTAAAGTCAGGTATCACCCGTTTAACTGCCGAACAGCTGCAGTTATAGTCTAAAAGTGATGCCTAAGTACAGTAAAGTGGCTGTGCGCTGATAGATAAGACCGCATACAGTGGCATCATTCATGGTATAATTGGTAGTTAGTGGAAAACGCGGAGTTAGCTATCTAATCTCGAAAACGATGCGCGATAGAAGGAAAATGGGAATTAGAAAATTGCACAGCATTCATCGATTTAGCACGAAAAGACACCTCATAGACATTACAGACTAACAAACAAACAAAAAAATCCATGTGATGGGAACAAAAAGAAATTAGATTTGCTTATTTATTTTTGAAACTCATGTCCAGGTGAGCTGAAAGAAGCCTCCAATTCTTATAATTCTTATAACCTCATAGACATTAATGTTAAGAACAGAACTATTTTAAAGCGCATCTGTGTGTTCGCGATTTCTTATACTGTGACGTGATGAAACGATCTTAGAAATAAAGAAACAACTAGTTAACACAAGATACATTTAATTTCGAGCTTAAAACGTCTCTCCGTCAACTGAAATGCACATCTAAATACTCGTTGGAGCTCCATTTTGCACACTTTGTATGTAGCATAGCAGGTGACACGTTTGCACAAGCATGTGCAATACGTTGTTAATGACACTGCAATGATTGCGGAAGGGTGGCATAATTATGCTATTTGAGGTATCCCAACAGGAAATAATTAAGTGGAGTGAGTTCAGATGAACGTGGAGGCCATTCTTCAAAATCACTTTACTCGGTTATCCGTTCTCCTAGTTCCTCCAACAGGTATGGCTTCACTGGTGATGTCTTGTGCGCAGTCACATCTTCGTGTTCGAAGCTTCTTTTCCGGAGATGAAGTAGCGGCAGTTTCTCAACAAAATTGGATATTAAGTCTTGCAGAATTTCTAAATATTGTGCGGCTGCTAAAGTATCTTGGAAAAATAAGGGGCTGATTAGCCTGTCACTGTGAATTCCACATCAAATATTAATCAAAAACCGTATTTGATGTCGAATGTCGGCAGAACATGATTCATTTTTCCGTACCCATTAATGGGTGTTACGGTTCAGAATTCCATCCTTAGCTTTAAGTTAATTAGCACGAATCGATCAACTTGAACCCAAGAAACGTGTATGAGCTTGACGGCTTCGCTAAAGGAAAAAAAGAGCACTCACTAGTATTATATATTTTATTTTGTTTAATAAATGTTATATTTGTTTATTGCTATTGTGCCGCAATAACCCGTAATATGCTTGGAAAGGACTGAGGGTAAGATGTGTGAACTAGGAAATAAAAAATAAAATTCAACTTATCCCAAAATGACAACATTGACTCGTTGAAACAATTCACAATTTATTAGTTAACCAGACTGTAAAGATATATATAAAAAAATATCACATTGCCAGAAATAAAACTCTTAATACAAGGCGCACATGAAGCTGCTCGTGAGTAACAGACAAAGTCCAGAGGAATCTTAATTCATCTGCGAAAAGTACTGTCCTTACGTGAATAGCATATTTCAGTAGAGTTAGCTGCATTAAAGTTGCTTGACATTTTTTTGATGAAATTAATTCAAATGCAATTTCCAGTTCGGAAACTTAAACCTCAGGAATTAGCACGTATGGCTGTGTGAACTTCTTGGAACGAACAATAAAAGTCCGATGAAATTTTTCTGCGCAAAATATTTTCCGTAATAAAACATTATCAGAGGATGGTTCTTGCAACGGTACCTTTCAGGCAATTAACCAAAAGAGTTTCCATTTAATTCGATGGGACTCCAAAGATGAAAAATGGCTAACTCACGCAGCCAGGAAAATAATTAATTTAGATTATTTACAAAGGCAAACATTTCGGGAGCTATCTATTTTGTGAAAGATGGAGGAATATTTAGTGAAAAACAATATACAAGGTGATCAAAAAGTCAGTATAAATTTGAAAACTTAATAAATCACGGAATAATGTAGATAGAGAGGTAAAAATTGACACACATACTTAGAATGACATGGGGTTTTATTAGAAAAGCAATAATTAGAAAAGCAATGATCTGATCAGAAAAGCAATAATTAGCATTACAGATTAAGACAAAACAAAGATGATGTTCTTTACAGGAAATGCTCAATATGTTCACCATCATTCCTCAACAATATCTGTAGTCGAGGAATAATGTTGTGAACAGCACTGTAAAGCATGTCCGGAGTTATGGTGAGGCATTGGCGTCGGATGTTGTCTTTCAGCATCCCTAGAGATGTCGGTCGATCACGATACACTTGCGACTTCAGGTAACCCCAAAGCCAATAATCGCACGGACTGAGGTCTGGGGACCTGGGAGGCCAAGCATGACGAAAGTGGCGGCTGAGCACACGATCATCACCAAACGACGCGCACAAGAGATCTTTCAAGCGTCTAGCAATACGGGGTGGAGCGCCATCCTGCATAAAAATCGCACGTTCCAGCAGGTGTTTATCACCCAGGCTGGGGACGATGCGATTCTGTAACATATCGGCGTACCTCTCACCCGTCACGGTAGCAGTTACAAAACCAGAATCACGCATTTCCTCGAAGAAAGAAGGCCCGATAACAGTACCTTTGAACTTTTTTTTTTTTTTTGGTTCTAATAAAACCCCATGTCATTCTAAGTATGTGTGTCAATTTTTACCTCTCTATCTACATTATTCCGTGATTTATTAAGCTTTCAAATTTATACTGACTTTTTGATCACCCAGTATACTACAACATTATATATGTGGCTACATTAAAAACATAGAATTTATCCATTCTTTCATCGTACATCAAATATTTCATGGACTGAGTTATTGGT